GCCCCTGGGGGGCCCCCTGAGGGTTGCTTTTAGGGAGAGTGTTCTTTAATGAATCAAATTTGATTTTTGTGTCTCTGGGGAGTGCAGAAGTTGCAGAAGGAGAAAAGTGAAAAGTTGAAGAAGCAAATGGAGGCGAAAAATGGGAAAGGAGAAGCAGCGGGGTGTACATACACCCGAGAGGGTGTGTGCTGCAGCAAGAGATGTGCACAAAAAACAAAAAACAAAAAAGAAATTGAAAAATAAATAAAAAGAAGATGAATTGCAGGCAGGAACACCTGTACAGACACTGCAGCGCCTCCCAAACGAAACTCCAGTTCAAATAATTCTTCAGATTTAAAATTAACTCTTTTGCCTTGGCTGCAGCTTCCAGAGTCGCCGCCGCAGCAGCAGCAGCAGCAGCAGCGGCAGCGGCGGCGGCGGCGGCGGCGCCTGTGCGGTGTGGTGTAGATACACTTGAGGGAAGAATAGTTTTGGGCTTGGAAATCGGATATGAGTGGAAATAAAAACAAAATAAATGAAATAAATGAAATTAATTTCCTTTTTGATGTTTAATTGAACTTCTAATTGCTGCTGCGGAGTTAACCAGTGGAGCTGCGCGGGGCCCCGCAGAGCTGGGGTGTACCTACACCTCAGTGTGCGCGCCCGCAGGGTTTCTTCTTTTCTTAAATTGCACTTTATTTCACAAATTTAAACTCAAATTCTTTCATTTTTCTTCAAATTTAATTAATTAATTTGCTGCGCGCTTCTAGCGCTTCATCTTTTCCCCCGGAAACCGTCGGAAAGCCGCTTTCCGCAGCAGCAGCTGCCTCGATGCCCCAGCACCAACCCCCCAAACCCTAAACCCTAAACCCTAAACCATAAACCCTAGCTCGGCTTCCTCAGCTCGAGGCCGCCGCCCCTGCTGGGGGCCGCAGCCCAGCTAGCTGCAACTCGCCGCGCTCGGCGGTCTTCCGTTGTCTCGGACTAGGGTTTAGGGTTTAGGGTTTAGGGTTTAGGGTTCCGGAAATGATCCATATAACTGTGAAACTTAAATACAAAACGGGCTGGCAAAGGCCCTTCGTTCATTATGAAGCAGCAGCAGATGCGGGGTCCTGCGGCGGCTGGCTAGACGCTCAATTAGAGGTACCCAAACCCTAAACCCTAAACCCTAAACCCTAAACCCTAAACCCTTGGTGGTGAGAATATGTCGTATGGGCGGCGGACGCTGAGCTCGCGAGCGCAGGCCCCTGGCTGCGGGAGAAGGGTTTGAGTTCCCTCGCCTAGGGTTTAGGGTATAGGGTTTAGGGTTTAGGGTTTAGGGTTTGCGCTGCAGCCCAGCGAACTGGAGGGCTGGCAAGAGGGTTTGCTGCTGCTGCCTGCGGAGGCCCAGCGCCTCGAGTTTGTCTTTAAAGAAAAAGAAGGAAGGGTTTGGGACAACCCCCCCAGGCCCAACAGGTTTGGGTGCGCCTAGGGTTTAGGGTTTAGGGTTTAGGGTTTAGGGTTTAGGGTTTAGGGTTTAGGGTTTAGCTGTGGTTCGGTTTCAGTTTGTGGGTTTGACGTCTTTAAGACCTGCAGCTTCTTGCTGCCTCTTTGCAGCGGGATGTAGTGCTGCTGCTGCTGCTGCTGCTGCTGCACGTGTTGCTGCTGCTGCAGCTTTTGCTGCCGTTGCTGCTGCGGGTGTCTCTGTTGGCTGCACTTCGTCTGCTGCTTGGTTGTTTTGCACTTGTTCACCTTTGCCAGGGGTTTAGGGTTTAGGGTTTAGGGTTTAGGGTTTAACTAACATTTGTTCATTCCGTCTTGTTCGCTCGACGGCGCCGAGCCTAGGGTTTAGGGTTTAGGGTTTTCCCAGGGTCTACGCCCTAGAGTTTAGGGTTTAGGGTTTAGGGTTTAGGGTTTAGGGTTTAGGGTTTTGCGAAGGCGCAACAACTACTTGCTGGAGTTGGAGCCGGAAGAAGCAGAAGTGACTTTGGTGGTTGCCGACGGGGAGGCCGCCGCGCTGTACCTACACCCCACCCGCAGCAGCAGCAGCAGCAGCAGCAGCAGCAGCAGCAGCAGCAGCAGCAGCAGGGTGTTGGTTGTGACGGACTTGGACGGAACTCTTTTGGGCCATAATGGCTTTTTGGAAAAGTTCAAAAGACACTGGAAGCTGCGCCACCTCTGGAGGGGCTCCAAACTGGTGGGCCTTCAGGTGTACAGACACCGCAGCAGCAGCAGCAGCAGCAGCAAGTGTACAGACAGCGCAGCAGGGCGGTAGACACCGCAGCAGCTGGATAGACACCGCAGCACGTGGATAGACACCGCAGCAGCAGCAGGTGGATAGATGCAGCAGCAGCAGCAGGTGGATAGGTGCAGCAGCAGCAGCAGGTGGATAGATACGGCAGCAGCAGCAGGTGGATAGGTGCAGCAGCAGCAGCAGGTGGATAGGTGCAGCAGCAGCAGCAGGTGGATAGATGCAGCAGCAGCAGCAGGTGGATAGGTGCAGCAGCAGCAGCAGGTGGATAGGTGCAGCAGCAGCAGCAGGTGGATAGGTGCAGCAGCAGCAGCAGGTGGATAGGTGCAGCAGCAGCAGCAGGTGGATAGGTGCAGCAGCAGCAGCAGGTGGATAGGTGCAGCAGCAGCAGCAGGTGGATAGATGCAGCAGCAGCAGCAGGTGGATAGGTGCAGCAGCAGCAGCAGCTGGATAGGTGCAGCAGCAGCAGCAGGTGGATAGATGCAGCAGCAGCAGCAGGTGGATAGATACGGCAGCAGCAGCAGGTGGATAGGTGCAGCAGCAGCAGCAGGTGGATAGATGCAGCAGCAGCAGCAGGTGGATAGGTGCAGCAGCACCAGCAGGTGGATAGGTGCAGCAGCAGCAGCAGGTGGATAGGTGCAGCAGCAGC